GGTGACCCCCATGGCCTCCATGGAGAAACATACCAGTGGAATCAAATAGTAGACCCAGTGGACTGCAGTGGCTGTTAGTTATATAGATTCAGTGATTAGTTAGCTCCATCTGGAGGCTTCTAGTGTCAGGGGAGGCGGAACGGAGTTCTAGTTGGCAATAGGTCCAGGAGCTGAATTCAAGAAGGAAGCACACAGGATGCTACAGGCTGAATAAATTAGGTTATAGCCTCACAGCCAGAAAACAGACCGAACTTCACTGGAACTAAAGGTGCATACAGGCTTGCAGGGATTACCATAAAGGTACAGCTGGTTTACTGGGATTAACTAACCTGCACGTGGTCTCTGTCCACCCACTCTTTCTACCAGTGACAGAATAGACATGCTTTACATGGACATTTTCTTTTCTTTTTCTGGGTTGTTTTTGTTTTTGTATGAGTATGAATGTCATTTCTAGGGATTTTTTTGTTGTTCTATTCCTGTTTTTATTTCTTCCCTCTCTTTCTATCCAGACTTCTTCACCAGTTTCCCAAAATTTAAGTAATCTTCCTTTATCCTCCAGCCTTATTTATAATACCTCCTCTTCTAGTATTTCTCTATTTTCCCCCAATCGCTTTAAAATTTTCTCCCCTCAGGGTAAACTCAACACATTAAGGGCATATTGTAGACTTTTTTCTACAACCAAAAATCTAGTTCATACAGTTAAAGGTGGTAGATTAATGGTTTCCTCATTTTGTCATTATCTACACTGTATTTGACTATACTACTTTAGCCAAGGGGACATCATTGTCCCAATCAGTTGTTCTTCATGGTATGACAAGCCTAAGGGTCATAAACAACTACAAGCCAATGCCAAAAAACCAGGGAGTAGGAACAAACTGGGAGGAAAGGATAACACTCATAACTGTATAAAACAAATATTAATGGAGAGAAAAAATCAAATATCTATTCAGGTGGATGCCCCAGACCAGAGAAGAACTGAGACAAAATCAGGACAAAGTAACCCTGTCCCTACAGTAGAGACTGGTGAAAGTTCCATAACACAGTATACCCCATTCAGTTCAAGGAGACTGTTGCTGCCCAAGTGACTCCTTTTAACAGCAACCTGAGCCCTAGGAAAAGCAGCACAGATTGTACTTCAGGCCACAATCTCCCTCAATGCTAGTGAATAACAACATAAAGAAATGAGATTCAAAAATCAATAGCACAGAATTCAGTGGAACTCAAAGCCCTGGAGCTAAGAAAACTAGGTGTTAATTGCAAATGCTATAAGAAATTTCATTTCAGATGAAAACAGAAAAGAATGAACAGTTTTGTACAATGGTTTGATTCGTCTTAGGTTTTTGTTCTGGAAGCCACATTTGATAGTACACTTTGTCTCACTAGTCATATTATGATATTATGAGAGGCACTCTTAATTTTTTTTCTTTTTTTTTTTTTTTCGGTACTGGAGATTGAACTCAGACCTTGCATTTGCCAGGCAAGCACTTATTCTACTGAGCTATCTTCCCCGCCACTCTTAATATTTTTGGGAAAAATGGTAAAGCCACAGATATTTGTATGGTATGTCTTATGTATATTTAAGTAGCATCTACCCCATCACCCTTTAATTATTGCATATCTTAAAATAATGAACCTACAGATAGAAAACATATATTGCTTGTACCAATCATTTCAAGATTATAAACTAACTAAACTGATATCAGAGAGAATTTGGTATTTATGCAAAAGAAAGTTTTAGTCCTGGTGAATCCACCTAACATCACAATTAATCATGTGGCTATGAAATTCACAGCAATATGGTTCCCAAAGAATAAGTTTACCCAGGCTGCTTTGCTTTACTTCCTCAACAAAACTGATGGTCCAATTTCCAAAGTATTGATTAACAGTTCTATGGTTACAGAGATAGTTACAGTGTAGTAATTCACATTGTTTTGTGCTAAAAAATTCTGTGTAACTGTAAAACATTGAATGAAGTTATTTTACTTGAACTGTATTTTATCTGAAGTAGGTAGAATTTTTTCTATGATGTAACTGTTGCATATTCTGTATCTGAAGTGAAATGGCTGCTCTTTCATTGTGTCTCAATTAATGAATTTGTCTCAACAGAAACTAAATGAACATTTCAAAAAAAATTGTTACTGTATGTAAACTATAACTGAAATCGGTATTTATTGGAAGGTCCTTATTTCACTTTGTATAACTGTCAAAAGGGCCTCTTTAAAAGCTTATATAATTTTTCTCTTTTTTGTATTATCTTTTTTTTATTTTCACATAAAAAGAATTCAGGTTGGGGGCTGGTGAGATGGCTCAGTGGTCTAAAGCACCTACTTAGAACAAGCTTAGCAAAGCACAGGGAC